CAAACTTTATTGAGCACTTTTCCATACAAACTTGAATCTTACATGTATCTGGTAAAAAATTCAGAAATTCTGTTGTTCCTTAAGTTTTCGGTAATAACAATTACAAATTACACTCACTCTTTTCAACCCTTATAAATTTGTCTATTATCATTTGTCGAAAAACTTTAATTAATTTAATAATAATAATAATAATAATAATAATAATAATAATGGTACTTTTATAGCGCATATTAACATGTGGATATGTTCACATGCGCTTTACACTTTGGCAAAATCACGGGCAGATTGAATTGTCGTTTGTCGTTTTATCGCACTTTGGCAAAATCAAGGGCAGATTGAATTGTCGTTTGAAAAGAGCAGCAGCAATTTTGCAGACAAGGCACACAAAAAAATAATGGTTGAGAATGCGCGACAGTTCTGCTACATTGTAGCACTTGCAGTGGTATGCGAGTAGAATTCTAATGAGGGAAATAAGTTGACATCACTTACTTTGACAAGAATCTTCTCCCTGAGAGCCTCAGGTGATGGAAGATACGACTCGTTTTCTCCTGGTTGAATTGTATAAAGTTTATCTAGAAGGCGAGGTAAATAACATACCATATCATTACATGCGTACACTCAAAACTGTCCAATCAGATCTCAATCAGGGTGGCAATTTCTCTTTAAATGAACGTGGACACCATTTTGAGCCTAGATTGATTGGTTTTGTAGTTGTTTTTGCACGAGGCTATGTAAACATGGCTGTAATGTGTCGATGCATTTTCTTCGGTCTATTTTATATAAAAAAATATTAAAACTTGTCACTTCATGTCTAAACCCCTAGGTACGGCTCAGGTTTACAAAAACTTTGAATTTTCTTACCGTTGTCTCATGTTTGAGAGAGAACATGCGATACAAATACACTTAATTAGAGCGGTTTTAAATCAGTGTTGAAAGTAATTTGCATTTACTTTGGTTTTGCTTCACAACTGGCTTAAAAATACAGGCCACTTTTTCATGTAATCATCCTGCTCACGTCAGGTACAGGTATTTTCCTCGAGTTTTGATTGGTTCACTGGATTTTCTGTGTCCTTTGTGATTGGCTAGAGTGATTACCTTGGGTGTGGATTAACGACACTCAATAGGTCACGTTCGATATATCAATATTCTAACATGGCTCCGAGGCTTTCAGGACAAACTTCTATATTTGGTGTCGTTGTCTTTGCATCCAAGTCTCTTTTGGGAATCGAGAGACAAAAGGAACTTAAAAAATTTACAGTTTTGACCCGAAAGCCTTAGGAGCCATGTTAGAATATTGATATATCGAACTTGGCCAATTGAAAAGCGCTTTATGTTCACTACAGCCTTTGTAAACATGCAAGCCATATAAACCCAGAGCCCAGGCAATTGAATGATTTCAGTAAATGCTTTCAAAAAGGCCGCAATAACACACTTATTCATACTTCAAAAAAAGAAAAAGATTTTTTTCTTGGACAAAATGTCACAAAAAAGCATAACTTTAAAACATCCGTTGCAGTGCTTGCAGTACCAAAATAATATCGATCTTCCAACCTCACCTTGAAAAATTTCTTTGAGATACTTTGCCATAACTTGTTGTTGTTTAACACTACAATGGTTTTCTATGGATAATATAAGTGGATATCTGAAAAAAAGATACAAGACAAGTCGCAAATGAATCCAATTGCTTCTAAAATCAACGCAAATTGAGAACGGAGCATCGCAATCATAAATACAACTACATCTCTACGAAGGAAAGCCAATAGCTTTTATCGCAGTTATCAGTCTGAGCGCTTTGACATACAAACGAGGCGTTTTCGCGCGCTTGTTCTCGGCTACATGTATTTTCTTCGAGTTTTGATTGGCTCAATGGTTGTCTCCTTTGCGATTACATACAAACGAGGCGAAAGAGCCAGTTTCGCTTTTTACTGACCCTTTCACCTCGTCTCTTCGATCGCCTAACCAGAGAAAACAATTTTGTTTCTATTCAATTGGTGCCAGTAAGTACTGTGAAAAGTGACATGGGACACTCTTAAATGGAGCCAAAGCACTATTTTCAACCCTCAAAAGGTACAACGAAACTCTTTCAGTAACACATAGAACCCTTCCCCTCCCCGAAAGCTTGGAAGCACTATCTACTTACGGAGATATTGTGAATGCATGTTCATCTATAGCTTCTAAAACATCACGAAAGAGAATCTTTGAAGTGAGAGTGTGACCATGGTAGATAACAGGATCATCACCGCTTCCATCCCAACAATCCACTGAAACAATGATAAAACCAAAACTGCATTAGTACGGAGTAACTAAAAGGCGTCTTGTCAAACTCGACTGATTGGAAATGGCCGTATGAATTGATAATTTATATAAGCGGTCCCTCTTTTGGTTAGTTTGTTGCGCGAGTAGTGAATGAAGAAAACGAGCAAAACATACATGTAGTCGTGCGTGTGCATGCGTGGGTGTGTACTGCTCAGGCGCGTAGATACGTGCTGCGAGCATGCGTGCTGCGCGCGAGTGAATGAGTACTTGCAAGGTGTGAACGTGCACAAGACTCATTTACACAAGCGTTTATGTAATTTTTGTCGCGATTTTTATCCGGCTTATGATGCAGTAACTACAATTTAAGCGCAATTTGAACGCAATGTCTCTAGAATTTCTATGAAACGTTATAAAATGAACACAAGTTTTGGGTCAGAGCATGAAAACACACATGGTCTAGAGTGCAACTTTCGACGTACATGTAAGTTAAGCTTAAATTACGACGGGCGGAATTGCACTGAAATGGTTTAAACGCGCGAATAAGAGTTGGAACTTTACGCCCGACAAAAAATTGCACTAACAGCGAACGTTGTACCATTAAGGGTAAAAGGGCTTGATTATAATGTCAGATTTAATTGAGTTTCAAAGCACAGCTGTTCTAGTGATGTTAAAATTACCCTACAAAATTCGATACATTTTTCCTTCAGCTTTTATTTACAAATTCGTAAACTCTAAATTCAATACATTAATCCAAGCCCAGGGGCCAAGGAAATCAACGCCAAAACAAAGGTGAAGAGCATTTAGACTTGGATCTTTTAATTTTGTTTCTGGCAAAGTTCACACTTACATTCTACACATTTACAGCCTTTTTGAAGTGCGTCGATATAAGCCTCTACACTGGACGGACCACTGAGTTGATTTTCTAGTAAGTATCTACAAAGAAATCAAACAAAAGCAATCTGTCAATCACCAAACCTGACCAAAGGCCAACTCGAAGGAGGAGTCAAGGAGTCAGCCCCTTGGGAATTACTAGTTCCCCCCNGAAGATACGACTCGTTTTCTCCTGGTTGAATTGTATAAAGTTTATCTAGAAGGCGAGGTAAATAACATACCATATCATTACATGCGTACACTCAAAACTGTCCAATCAGATCTCAATCAGGGTGGCTATTTCTCTTTAAATGAGCGTGGACACCATTTTGAGCCTAGATTGATTGGTTTTGTAGTTGTTTTTGTACGAGGCTATGTAAACATGGTTGTTATGTGTCGATGCATTTTCTTCGGTCTATTTTATATAAAAAAAATATTAAAACTTGTCACTTCATGTCTAAACCCCTAGGTACGGCTCGGGTTTACAAAAACTTTGAATTTTCTTACCGTTGTCTCATGTTTGAGAGAGAACATGCGATACAAATACACTTAATTAGAGCGGTTTTCAATCGGTGTCGAAAGTAATTTGCATTTACTTTGGTTTGCTTCACAACTGGCTTATTTTCCTCGAGTTTTGATTGGTTCACTGGATTTTCTGTGTCCTTTGTCCTTAGCAGTTCTTGCAGTACCAAAATAATACCTATCTTCCAACCTTACCTTGAAAAATTTCTTTCAGATACTTTGCCATAACTTGCTGTTGTTTAACACTACAATGGTTTTCTATGGATAATATAAGTGGATATCTGAAAAAAAGATACAAGACAAGTCGCAAATGAATCCAACTGCTTCTAAAATCAACGCAAATTGAGAACGGAGCATCGCAATCATAAATACAACTACATCTCTAAGAAGGAAAGCCAACAGCTTTTATCGCAGTTATCAGTCTGAGCGGTTTGACATACAAACGAGGCGTTTTCGCGCGCTTGTTCTCGGCTACATGTGTTTTCTTCGAGTTTTGATTGGCTCAATGGTTGTGTCCTTTGTGATTACATACAAACGAAGCTAAAGAGTCAGTTTCGCTTTTTACTGACCCTTTCACCTCGTCTCTTCGATCGCCTAACCAGAGAAAATAATTTTGTTTCTAGTCAATTGGTGCCAGTAAGTACTGTGAAAAGGTGACATGGGACACTCATAATGAAGCCAAAGCACTGTTTTCAACCTCCAAAAGGTACAACGAAACTCTTTCAGTAANCGGGCATAAAATGACTGTAGTTTTCAAATAATTTTTCTTATGTCCACAAAATTCCCATCCGCTCAAATGAAACATAAATTAAAGTTCAATCAAATAGTTATTTTGGGGGTATTATAACACATCAGTGTCTTTTGAGAATATCAGCATTAAACAGCAACTTTGAAAAAAGGAATTGTACATCTCTAACTTCCTGAAAAAAAGAAGCTTGTTAAAGTTGAAATCACCAGGGTAACACTTGCCCTGATCAAAATTTAGCTCAAAAACATCGAATGGATAAATTTGTACATTGACACAAATAAAGTCGAATACAAGTAATTAATAGTCTAATTAGGAACTTACCATCAATTCCTAAACATTTTAATTTTCTGCCTTCCTCTGTCGGCTCACATCTTTTGATTATGTCTAAACAATGTTCTTTGCCTACCCTAGAAAGCTGGGCAATACGAGAGAAGAGAAATAAAAATCAACAAATTTTATCGTCTTTTTTTGCAGATGAATTCAGAATGTTTTCCAAGTGAATTTTTTTCTTTGCAGACAGTGTGTATGAAACATTACCCCTTGTTCAGCTTCCAGGAAAAGCAGTAAATCATCCGTTGTTAGGTAGTCGCTATTGCTTGTATACCTACAATATAAAAGAAATGTGTGATTGACGTCTAAAAGTAAGACCCTTGACTTCCCAACAGAGATTAGCACTTGAAGGTACAATGTATCCCGAACACTTATTTTACATTTTGTGAAACACAAGTTTATTAACCTCATCACTTTGTATGTTTTATTTGATGTTTCATTATTTTGTCCAAACTTCTTGTTTCTTTGAGAGCTCAGCACATGTAAATACATGTAGCTCAGCACTGTATTTACATCCTGCATTTACAACTTTTTTGATGCCGACACCAAACCCACAAACCAAAAAAGATCTATTCATCTAACAAACAAATTAAACCCCCATTTATTGGTACACAAACAGAAAAGCATTTTTAGCAAATATGACCTTATCAAGGTACAAAATGTCACATCATTGAAACGAGAACCTCAACTAAGATACCTGGATACCTGGCGACATCCCAGACAACCAGAGCCCCTAGCATAAAGGGACCCTGTTGGAACTAAACACCCAGTGTCCAAGGGACCCAGAGAATCAGGGGATCACAGACCAGAACATTAGAGTCCAACTGACATGAGGACCTGGAAACCACGGATCTTTAACCTGACATTCCAGTTAAGCTAATAACAGGCTGCTATCTTGCTAGCAAAGCACAACAAAATTTCAAACAAACTGTGCAGACACAAACCTTGCCAGAAGAAAATAAACCTCGGGTCTTGTAGTGAGTTCTTTGTAAAATGAAAGAAACTCTTCTCTAGATAAACTATTCTTTTGAGAATCGGGACTGACTGCTACTGCTTCCTACAAGAAATGTAAAAGAAAAAAAATTATACCACTTGTTCAATTGAACCAATCCACTGTAGAACAAAGAAGATGGTAGCTGTACATTTTACCACAATACCTTAAAAACCTAAAACAGCCCATAAAGTACAAGAAAAGCATCTTGCAACATTTTGTCGGTAAGTCACTGTATTAGCAAACTTTCCTGAGCACTTTTATCAGTATCGTTACAGCTTTTGTGTGCTAAGGATCATGGCAAATGTGTCAGTTGCATTCTTTTTTTCTTTTTTTGTTTTTCCTATGGAGGGTTAGCACTTGCCCTATTACAGGTGACCAAAGCACATGATAAGAGTCTGTATGGAGCTCTATAGAGGTTTGTATAAATTTAAAGTTCTGGACCTCTCTCCATATAGCAATGACTGAGTTCTTATTGCAGTGATATAGATAAGGGCTGGTTACCAAGTAATTTCACTGGCTACATGTAAAAGAACTAAGGCTGAAAACAAAGGCTAGCTTAAGGTATCTTTTGTGGTGCAAAGGCCAGAAAGCTGATTGAGACTGTTAATGAGCCAGTAGTGTTTTGTTAGCTACATTGTACATTCCTGTTTTTGTTGTTAGGGAATTATTCAATTCAAGTCTCGAGGAGAGGAATGAAACCTACTGTGTGGTAAACGAGCAAAATGACCGGAGTCATCCAGCACAAGTACAATAACCCAGTCGCATTGTACAAATTCTGCTATGCTGTATGCCAATGCCGGCTCATGTAGTCATATTATACATAAACATCACTGACGTCAAAAACCTTGGGCAAATGTTACCAACCTTAAATCTTTGCCGAATTACACTTTCTGGGATTTGTTCATTGAGTTGTCTAACCACAGAGAGAACTTCTTTCTCATTGAGTCTTCCTTTTCCTCCATTGTCGGCCATGATAAACTGTTCCTTCAACCATGTGGTCAAATGTTAAAGAAAATTCTAATAATTTAAAATGCTACCTGATCAAACTCAAATTTCTCCCCAATGTCTTTCACACTAGCTACACTCACCAATAATGCCATTATAACAAAATACCTGTTTTAAAAATAGCTTCTGCAAAAATTCTACATGATCCTAGCAGGGGAGACACTCAGTCAATCCTTTGGCTCCCCGGTGTGACTGATATGTAAACTCTCCTTACATTTTTTAATACACTAGTTGTTAATCAGAATGGTAATGAGATTGAGGAAAATCATCAACTGGGGGATATGATCTTGTTATAACATGAACTTCTCAGGACTAGCTGACAAAGAAAGGTATTGTATTACATGTAGCTAGAAGTATTGACTTTTGGATCCCGGGAGTGAAAGGGCTACAGCTGGAAACAAAAGCAGAGTCCTAATAATTATTTAAAAGAACGTCTTTGCATACATGGCGATCCCATCATAAAGTGATTTGCCTGAGGGGAATGGGCACAATGCAGTGGTGAGAGTTCAAATCTGGGTTGGTGTCCCTTTGGTTTGAGCTTGTTGTTGGTTCTTGCCTTGCTCCGAGGGTTTTTCTCCATATTTCAATTTAAACTGGATACCGAGGTCCCACAAGAAAACTGTTGGCCAAGTCCCTCTGTGAGATGTGCCTGCAGGGAATAGTGGTAATTCATCAACTTGGACTGGCTGTTTATTTTGATGAATACAATTACCATGATTCCCCACAGGCAAATCTCACAGAGAGAATTGGCCATTGGCACTGAAATATACGTAGCTTCTTCTCTAACGATGCTCATAATTATTTACGTCTTTCCACTTTTTATCACTTTACTGAAGTGTCCAGAATGCACTAAAAAGGATATCTATCACGCATCTGTTGTCTGTTTTCCACAGGACTGCTAGCTGTCAATTGAATGACAGAAATATGTTATTTATTAACTACATGTAAATGACCTTACATGCATGTATTCTTGTTAAAACCTGTACATAAAAGTATTAGTAGGACTACAACTTCCCTCTATGTGAAAGTTAACAATAATAGATTATGAGCTCAAGAATTATGAGGAAATACCTGAGGTAGCCAAAGGCCACCAAATAATGGTGTCTAATTATTTCTCTATGTACCCAACAGAATAAACATTTTCACACTTAAGCAACATTTGTGTGGACTGAATTGTCATTATGAAATTTGCAGCTGTTTACAAGCACTCATCAGTTTTTCCATCTTGAGGTCTTGTAGTTGAGTAATGGTAAATTCCATCATTGAGCCTTCTCGGGAATTTAACAGATTTCACTCAATCACCCACTTCACAGCAAAAAAAAAAAAAACAATTATGTAAGTTGCATACTGTACATTTTTACATGACTTTCGCACACATGCATGTATGTATTCCTCTTTACCTTTATCTGAATCCAAAAGGCACCTCAGACCAGTCACCCAAATATTTGCCTCGTCTGGAGAGTATGCAACAAGATTTAATGTCTCAAAACTGTCACTGTAAATAATAGAAAATGCACAGTCTTCTTGAAAATCATCTCTGTCCATCTCGCGGAAGACATCTGTGTTTTTTCCACAGCGGATCTCTTTTATCGTGTCGATGGGAACTGAAAAAATCATGATAAAAAAAAATTGTAAATTGACTAAGTTCTGCTGAAATTCCAAATGATATTTCAGACCTCAAAGCAACAACAGCTACTCTGTCTCGCAGAAATTGGCTGGCATCAAATATGTTACCTAGGGCCTAGTGGTTGATCTATTAGCCAGACATAGCAGAGGGGAAGGGGAATTGGGGGTGTACTTCAACTGTTTATAACTGTTACAATATCTAAGTAAAATCTGCTGAACATTGCAACTTAACTTGAAATTTATCTGAAAACAATAACATTTAGTATGGCATGTTATTGTTCTCAGAACTTGATGGTTTCCAGGGCAACCACATTTTGACAGGCATGTTTTTCAAATTCTAATAAACCAAATTAATTTTATAGAGTTGTTTTTAGGTTGCCAGTACTTTCAATAATTATCTTATGGGTTTTCTGGCATTTTGGAAAAATTCAAGAAATTGAAGATGTTTAGATAACACAACACAGCTGTCACACGATATGACATCACCACCTCAGGCAGATTACAGTTGAACTTCCTGTAAGCGACCACCCAAAAATGTCAAACCTCAGTGATCACTTATGGGAGGTGGTCGTTTACAAGAGCTTAGACCATACTGGGTCAAAATTTTGCTTCATTAGCATATGGTAACTGCAGAGACTTACCCCATGTTTTAAATACGTTATTCGTGTAACAAGTCAATTTGGAGAAAAATCGGGTACTTTATGTTAAGAAATTTTCATCTCTTATAATGTTACAACACCTTATTATCCAATTTCCACTCTACTATTTGTCAAGTGGTCACTTACAGGACGTTAAAACCAAAATAAAACTTCAAACTTTTGGTTCTAAGAGTGGTCGCAGTCGCTTATGAGAGGTGGTCGCTTACAAGAGGTTCCAAATATTAATAGTGACTTGACTTAGAAACTTTTGTTATTTTGGAAAAGTGGTTGCCAAGGAGAGGTGGTCACTTATGAGTGGTGGTTGCAACTGGAGGTTCCACTCTATGTACAAGGACACATTAAATTTTTGGATGTACTCAGTTTCATCGGTTAAATATCATCAATGAGTTTATGGAGCCGGGGAGCAGGGAATCCACCATGCCCATCTCCTTGGTTAGAGAGAAAGCCTGGTCCAAAGAGAGTTGACAAGAGGACACCATCTTGAAAAAAAAATTATCACAGGGGTTCCAAAAATGTTTTACAATGTGAAGGCAACGTGTCCATAAGGAATTCCCAGGACTGATTCAATTTTGAGCTGTTTTTAGTTTAATAGGGTTGACAGTTCTTCAGCTGAATAAGAAATGGAAAAAAAAAAAAAATGCAAATCACAACCTGAAGTGATCTTTAATCCTTTATAGCTGCAAACGAAGTTATTGAAAAATAACAGTTTTGAAAGCAAAATGGAAAATTGAAGAACTTCAGGATAATTGCACTGACCTGTTATATAGCATTGGTTTGTTTTCTAAGCACAGCTGAAATTTGTACACATATACATGTACCACTTCCATTGAAAATTAAGTATTGCAAGTAATTTCAGAGGGCAAAATAATGGTTAATGCATAAAGACAAAACAAATAATTAGAGAATCAGAAAATTTTTGTTGCAAGCGTAAATGTTGCCAGCATCAATTTCCAGGCAATTTAATGGAAAAGGATAGAAAACATATTGTAAATTCTGTTACAGTATAAATAAATTTCACAAATGGGTTTGAATATAACAATAAAATTTAAAACTTTCTGCTTGCAATGAATAATATATGAGGAAACTTCAACTCAGGAGGAAATTTCTTGCAATTGGCAGCTGTAATCCTTTGACAAACTGAAAATTTAAACATGAATGATTAATGCACTGCAAATTGGAAAAAGAGTTCTGCATTGTTTTCCAGACAATGATAAACACAAAAGCACTTGTAGTAGGTGTGCAAATGAAGAATAGAATGATCATCAAAAATTACCAAGAATTAAAATATTGAGGATATTACATGTACATGGATGGCAGTGCAAAGATATGAATTTTATTTTCGAGTGGTGAAAACAATAATTATTTTACGAACGAGTATGGCAACTGAGTAAAATATTGTTTTTAACACCAGAAAATAAAACTTCATATCTTCAAGCCACCGTGTTATTTTCTTTTACTATATAGACAAACTGACTGTTTGCACAAACAACTGTCAAAAGGCAGGAAATGACGTCATCAGTATGCTCAATAGCAATGATATGGAAAATACACCACTCAGGTCCCAAATGTAGTTTTGTATGAATTTTATGAATGACGTACATGTACCTGACTGTATTCTCCAGTAAAACACTCGTCTATTATTAACAATAAAACAATATGAAGTATGTAACTAGGTAACAAGTTCAACTGATTGACATTTAAGAAACAGAAAACATGTACCATGTTTCTATCGAGTTATAGAAACACGAGTGGAAGTTTGGGAGAACGAGAAATGCTGTGGGAACACGAGCCA